GATCCCACTGAACAACTTTCATGGGCTGCGAATGAAATGGCTTCAATACTCAGAGAAGGGGACTCTGCAACAATTGAGCTTCGGATAGCATGGGCAGGACTTGCCATGGTTCACAAGGCTCAGCGAGCTCTGTACGCACTAAATCCGGCAAATAGAAGAGGATCCAGATGACGCTGTTCAGTGGCACCAATTTGGCCTTCACAATCTTCGTACTCTACAGTTCAAGACATCTCAGAAGTACCTTAAGGCTACAGTTGCCCGCGACAAAGAATGCAGCTACGCATGGTCAAATCTTGGTATCTCACTGCAGTTGTCTGAGGATGAACCCTCTTCATTGGAACCCGATCCAGGAGGGCAAAATCATTCCACCTATCTGGGATTCCTTTGACTATGTTTCAAGACACCCATCCTGAATTCGAGCTTGAGGACAAGCTCGTAGTCCAGGAGGGGAGTAATGATGTGGACGCCAGCAGTAGCAGCAGTAATTTAGTGTTCTCATCCTATCTTATCTATTCAGTATTCTTGCCTTATCTGCTTTCAGTAGTAGGGATTAGTAGGAGTCTTATCTATTCAGGGTTCTTATCTTATCAGTTCAGTAGTATGGATTAGTAGGGAGTCTTATCTTATCTAATTACAGTTCTTATCTTATCTTATCAGTTCAGTAGGATAGNGTTCAGTAGGATAGATTAAGGAAGTCTTATCTTATCTTATCAGTTTAGTCTTATCTTATCAGTTTAATAGGATAGATTAGTAGATTAGCAAGGAGTCCTCCTAAAAGTAGGATTCTACCTCTTGTAATCTCCTATTTAAGGAGCTGATATTCAATAAAGGTATCAAAAATTTCAGTCAAGAAAGAGAGCAAGGAGAGTTAGGTGATCTCTTGGACAAATCACCATTAAGGCGCCAAGAAGGTTCATAAAGAGCAGGGAGGAACAAGGGGAACAGGAGGTTTTCCCCGTGGACCGACTCGTGACGAGATCCTATTCCCGGGCCCATAATAGTACATTTCTGATCCTATTCCTTCCGGTTTTCCCACCCATCCATTTCAAGATTCACATTTTTGCTACATTCATTTTTTTGTATGTTTTGTTTCTTGATTCCCCAATATTCTACTCCATAGAACAATATAGTTAACTTTATAATTGTTTTTCGAAATTTTCTTTTTAGCCTGGTGGTAATTCTCCTATCACATAGGACTTCAGAAGTGCTCCTCCATTTTGCCCATCCCACTCAAGCATATGACTAGTGGCAATCTATCTTCTTGTAATGCTTGGGGCAAACCTTTCGTCTTTTTGTATCCATTTTTTCCTCACTGTTTGTAGCAAAATTTCACCATGACTTTTCAAAATAGATAGTAAAAATTAAAAAAAAGAAAAATAATAGAAGAATTAGAAGAAAAAAAGAAATAAAGGAATCATGGAGACCTTTCATTCTTTCCTTTTTCCCCTTTGATTTGCAGTCTGTCAAGTGTCAATGGTTTTTTACTCCAATTGTATTCTTACATTTATTAGGTATGTCATATGGTATGCTCAAAGTGTAAATTTATTTATTTTTAATCTATAGCGGCTATTGTTGGCATCAAATCAATAAGCTTGTTATGTTTGTTCATGTAGATTGGTCCCTCTTTCCTCACTGGTCGAAGCATTTCAACATCTGTTCTTACTCCTCAAGCATATGAAGGTGCAATTCCTCCGGAGTTATTATCCAAGAAGATTGTATTAACCCCAGATCGTACTCAAGGTATGAAGCATAATCTTGAGTCTATTTGCAGTTTTTGCACAGATATAGAATTATAACTTCATTGGAATAAAATGAAAATGTTCCTAGATATCTAAAAGGCATCTCCTAGCTTATGTTTGGATTGTATAGCATAAACTCTATTCAACTCAATATTGATAAAAAATGAATAAAGCTAAACTCAACTAGGTCATTGCATAGTATAAAGTAATTATATAATTTGCTTCCAAAAATCAAATTTAGAAAATGGTGGACAGATGGAAAATATTGTTGTTATGAGACTTGGACCAGATTGTTGGACCATCATTTGAGTCAAAACACAGTTGGTTCGTATCATGTGCTTTTGCATGTAAGGGACTATCACAAGACAATAAACAAGTATTTGGTTGGACAAGTTTTTTTTTTGGCTTTGCATACTTCTATACATATTTTTCATCTTATTTGAATGAGGCAAGGTGGTTGATTTGGAGAATAAGGCTATGTGGCCCAGTATGACCAAGGAAGCTCTACATGCAAGTCTCATAAAACAGAAAAATAATACTTGTTATTGATACATAAAGAGAGGAAAAGAAACAACATGCCTCAAAAGTCAAGCTATTGTTAAATTTTACTAGAAAGCCATCACACAGAATACCAAGATCATTTTGCTTTATTTTGGTAATAGGTATATTTCTACCTAAAAAAATTGCATAGTGATCTTTTGCCAAGTGTGAGTTAACCGGTAAGATGTTGTAAGTGCTACAGTGGAGATGGGGATCTCTGAAAGAAATTATGGAGGAGAAGTTTCTTCCGGCAACCAGGTGGAAGAAAGTCCTAGCTATGGAGAAGAAGACTTTTCTGTTGGAAGAACTAGGTGGAGCTTCGGCGGTAAAAATCAGAGAAGGCAAATGATCTGTGGTTATCTTATGTAGGGAGGCTTCAAGCTGGCTCAAAGGATTCTTCGATGGCATATTATTTGCCATTACAGAAACAGGTTGGAAAGGGGAACTTTGTGTGCTGAAGAAAAAATTCATAGTGGAGAAGAAGAAGAATGACGGGAGAATTCATTCAACTGACTGAAATGTTTGGAAGGGGAAAAAGGCAAATTATTTGTATCCCTGCTGGAAAGGAGAAACAGGGGTGGCTGCAATTTGCAAAGGCCCTGGATGAGTATGAGCAGAGACTTTGGTTGCTTGAAAGACAGTCAGAAGGTAGGAATGAGCATCGTCCACCTGATTTGAAGCATTCTTCAGAATCTCCTTGCAACGAGGAAAAGATGACGGGAGTTGGACATATCTGTGGTAATTCCCTGTGCTCAAAACTGATGGCTGACGACGGTTTGGAGGAGTGGCGAAGAAGAAAGGTGGTTAGAATGGGTAAGAAGGTGGATAACTGGGAAAGAGTACTACAGGATGTAGTGGTCTTTGTGTCGACAACGGAAAAGGCATTAGTTTGTACGTTTGGGGAAATGGCAGCAATTTTAGATATGGATAGTGATGGCGCGCAATCTGGATGCTCTTAGATGGAGGGCAGCTCGGATGTCGGTTTGCTTTGCTGGCCGGTTGAACTGCAAAAGAAGAAGACTCAGAGGACCCAAGGTGGCTTACCCGGTGTGGGTGCTCCGATGCTCAAGTTAGTACTCTGGTGTGTGAGCTAAAAGCTTGAATGCTAGTAAGCTAGTGAGCAAGTAATCATGTGTCATCAGATAGTAAAGGTAAGAATCTGATCAAAGTATCCACAAGAGAGGGAGTAGTGTCGGTGGAAAACTGGAATCCCTCTTGTAACAAGATGGAGGTAGATTATGAGTCCTTTTGTCTAGAAATTGTGGGACTGCCCTTTAATCTTTGGACAGAGGAAATATTCCTTCAAATTGCAGCAATATGTGGAGGATTCATTCTAGATGTGGATTGGCCAACTTGCGTTTAGGGGGATCCAAGCCGGAAAAATTCCAAGGTTGATTGAAGTTTTCTCAGACAGCAGATGGAGGCAAGTGTGGGTAGTGTCGGAAGTTGAATCGTTCCTTTGTGGGGGGGGGGAGGGAGAAAGGTTGAAGATGATTACATGGCAGATAGAAGGCCATGTGATGAGGAGAAAAAGAGAGACACGAATGCCAATCTTGGTTTTCTCCCAAAAGAAAATAAAAAGTCAAGCGAAATTAATTCAGGCTCTATTTTCCCAATTTTAGCTGGTTTTTCAAACTGCTTTGAATTTCAAAGGAACAGACCCGTGTCCTACGTGGAATCTTTAAAAGAAGGAAGTAAGGCTTCTAAACCGGGGGTGAACCAAATGCTTGGGCCAGTTTGCTTTTTGCCCTCACGTGATAACTTAAATAACACGTGCGGGGTTGTGGGGGAATTGATGGGGAACGCTGTCGTCCCCATCGATCCCTAACAGCAAATCCTCTGGGAAACAACTGCATTTACAGTGAGCTAGTCGACTTCCTTCAATGCAAGAAAAGCCCAATCCTAGGTACGCAAGATCAAAGGAAATGCAGGGGTGAAGAAGACGACAGTCGGTGGATAAACTATGAAGTTTCTGATGAGGATAGCCTTTTCGATGAAGAATCCAGTATAGGAAGTGTGGACGGGACTATCCAAGTTTGCTTGGAGGGTGAAGAGAATTTGTGCATTGGTGATTTGTTCACGGCAGAAAGGGTCAGCGAGACTCAGTTTCAAGAGAGTTCTGTTGTTAAAGCCGTTGAGCAGGTTATGCAGGGGGAGAAAGAATTCCGTGAAAACCTTAGTGGTCAGATGGAAATAATGTTGGAAGGGCAAGTGCAAAATGGTGTTAGCTTAACAAATCATGCCCGAGATCAGCAAGGGTCATCCTGTTTACAAAAGAGTGTAGACTTCTCTCTGTCGAGCAACAAAAGTTGGAAGAGCAGAGGATGAATGTACAGGGGAACTATAGGACTATGGAGGAGTCTCCTCCAAGGGGCACAGAATCAAGAGCTGAAATGTTTATGGTAGCCATGGATCACATTCAACCAGAAAAACCTGATGTCTCGATGGGCGACCATGATCTGAAACAGGGAGATAAAGAACCTGAAAATCCCCCTTGTGTTGTGTCTGCGCCTACTTTGTGTCCTGGTAATCCCTACAATTCTTGTGTTTTCGGTTTTAGTACTAACTCCTCTTCTAGCTCTCATGCAGATAGCCCAACTCCCGTTCCTGCTGTGATAAAGCCCATGGACTTGCCCGGTGGTGTAATAGGGGAAAACATGAGAGGTGGAGGTTGTAGCATGGGGGGAGGAAAGGGTAAAGAAAAATTAGAATAGGAGAAGGGTGATAATGTTGTAATGAATGAAAAGGGAAAGGAATATAGACTTGAAGCAGCGGTCTCGATAGAAAGGAGACATGGGGAAGAGGACCAAGTAGTGAACTTAGCAAATAGGATGGGGCTCAATATAGAGAAGGCTAAAGATGTGATCTCCCAAATGAAGAAAGGAAGAGGGGGAGGGGGAGGAAAAAGAAAGAAAAAATCGAATGAAGTAGAGAAGCTCATTAATGATGTAGAGGGGGACAGAATTTAGTGCAAGGGGAGGAAGAAAAAAAGGAGGTTTATAGGAAGAGGAGTCATAGGGGAATTTTAGACAGCTTAATGAAGATCAGCAGTTGGAATGTCAGGGGACTAGGAAGTGCCACAAAGAGGAGGTTGGTTAAGGAGTTGTTGAGGAAGGAAAAACCAGATATTGTGATGGTTCAGGAGCTTTTGGGGAGAGAGAAATATTCAGTGGAGCTTTGCACCAGCTTGGGGTGTTTCAGGGGGAATAATTACAGCCTGGAAGGAGGATTTATTTCATTTCGGTCTCAGCAAAGTTGAGGAATATTCAGGATGGGTTTGAATGGGTTCTTACTAATGTTTATGGTCCAAATTCTTACAGAGAAAGGGATAGAATGTGGGAAGAATTAGCAGATATTCGAGGATTGTGGGAAGGACCTTGGTGTTTAGGAGGAGATTTTAATGCGACTAGGTTTGTGGGTGAATCAGTTGGAGGAAGGCAGAGGGTCACTTCAAGTATGAGGCATTTTAACAGTTTTATTTAGGCTTTTGAACTAAGTGACTTCCCTCTTGGTCAATCCTGTTTTACATGGTCCAACCTTCAGGCTAATCCTATTTGTTCTAGGCTGGACAGGTTTTTAATGTTTCTTGATTGGGAAGAACATTGGATGGGATTGAGGGGAAGAACATTACCCAAGATTACATCAGATCATTGGCCGATTTGTTTATTTCAGAGGTCTTTGGATGGAGGTCCCGCTCCTTTCAGATTTGAGTACATGTAGCTTACCCATTCAGAATTCAAAGCTAAGTTAAAAGAGTGGTGGGAGTCCCAAAGCTTACAACCTATGTGGAAAGGTCAAAATATTTTTAAAAAGCTATAGAGGTTAAAAGGGGAAATTAAAGAATGGAACAAAGTGAAGTTTGAGAGAGTGGAAGAGAAAAAAGTTGGTTAATCTCACAAATTGAGGAGATAGATAGGAAGGAAGTGCAAGATGTCTTGGAAAACCAAGATAGGGAAAGCAGGTGATCTTTAAGAAAGGAGCTAGAGGTTACTCTCTTGAGAGGGGAGATAAATTGGAAGTAGAAGTCTAGGGAGAAGTGGATTAAAGAAGGCGATGGAAATACAAAATTCTTCCATGTGTTAGCAAATGGCAGGAAAAGAAAGAGCTCAATCTCTTCTTTATTGGTGGAAGGTACTGAGATCACAGATCAAGGCGACATTGCTAAGGCCTTTACTGACCATTTCAGATCAATTTATCGCAGGCCAATTAATGAGAGGTGGTCACTTGATGGACTTGATTGGGAGTGTTTGGAAGAAAATCAAGTGGAATTGTTGGAGAAAAGTTTTGAGGAAAGTGAGATTAAGGAAGCAATTTTCTCCATGGATAGATCTAAGGCTCCAGGACCATATGGGTTCACTATGGCGTTCTATCAAGACTGTTGGGAGGCAATCAAAGATAATTTGATCAAAGTGTTTAGGGAATTCCATAGAAGGGGGAGAATTAGTCCGGGGATGAATTCAACCTTTTTAGCCTTGATCCAAAGAAGAAAGATGCCACCTAGCCAGGTGATTTCAGGCCTATAAGCTTAGTGACTAGTATCTATAAGGTAATTACCAAGGTACTTTCACTGAGACTTAAAAAGGTTCTCCCCTCAATCATTTCTTAGTTCCAAGGGGCCTTTATTCAGGACAGACAAATAGTTGATCAAATCTTAATTGCAAATGAATGTGTGGAGGCTCAAAAAAGGTTAAAGAGAAAGGGAGTGGCAATTAAATTGGACTTGGAGAAAGCCTATGATCTAGTGGATTGGGAATTATTGATTAATATCATGAAGAGGTGTGGTTTTGGGAATGTATGGTGTAAATGGATTAGAGGTTGTTTGCAAACAAGTCGCCCTTTTGTTTTAGTGAATGGATCAGCAGTTGATTTCATTGAAGGCTTACGAGGTCTTAGACAAGGTGATCCACTCTCTCCCTTTCTATTTACTTTAGTGGCCGAGGTATTAAGTAAGTTGATTTTAAAGGCTAATTCCTTGCAATTGTTGAAAGGATGGACAATAGGAAGTGATAGAGTTTTGGTCTTTCACTTGTAGTTTGTAGATGATATCCTCATTCTTTGTGATGGAGAAGAAAGAGAGGGGCTAGAAAATCTGAAGTTAGTAGTGAAGCTCTTTGAAAGGATTTCAAATTTGAGAATCAATTGGTCTAAAAGTTTAGTGTTTGGTATTAATGTAGAAGATGATGAGCTGAAGTCAATGACAGATTTATTGGGGATGTGAGAAAGGAAATTGGCCTTTATGTTATTTAGGTTTACCCCTTGGTGGCAACCCTAGATCAGCTAGTTTTTGGAACCCAGTAGTGGAAGGATTTGAGAAAAGACTAGCAAGTTGGAAAAGGAATTATATTTCTTTGGGTGGGAGAATTACATTGATTAAATTGATAAAAAAAAAAAGAATTGCATTGATTAAATCCATTCTGGCAAACCTCCCAGTGTACTATATGTCGGTTTTTAGGATGCCTCAAGCTGTGGTAAAAAGAGTTGAAAAGATAATGAGAGATTTCCTTTGGGAGCCTAGTGAAGGGAAGAAAGATCATTTGGTTAGATGGGATAAGGTGATGCAATTGAAGATTGAGGGGGGTTTGGGCATTGGAAACGTTAAGTTGAAGAACTCGGCCTTATTGAGTAAATGGCTCTGGAGATTTCCTAAAGAAAATGAGAGGTTGTGGACTAGATTTATTTCAAGTACCCATGGGCTGTCAAACAACGGTTGGGATGCGGGCTGCTTACATAGAGCTACTCTGGCTGCTCCTTGGAAGGTTATCCATGACAATCTTCCTGTGTTCCTCAATCACATAAGGTATGATTTGGCATTGGGTCAGAAAATTAGATTTTGGGAGGATATGTGGGTAGGGGAAGCCCCCCATTTAGAGGTTTTTCCTTCTCTCTTTGAGCTTTCTAGTTTCAAAGGTAAACCTATTTGTGATTTTATCAGCTCTTCCTCGTCCCTTTCAAACCTGAGTTGGAATCTTGGCTTCACTAGAAATCTGAGAGAATCTGAAATTTCCAATGTCTCAGCTTTGCTTCTTCTGTTGAGTTCAGTATGTTTGGGGGAAGGTGGTTCAGATTCTAGAGTGTGGACCCTTAGTCAGTCGGGTTCTTTTTCCTGTAAGTCCTTTTTGAAATCTCTTATCTCCACCACCCCCTCTCATCATTTCCCTATTAAGGAGATATGGTCTCGGCCCATCCCTCCAAAAGTTAGTGCTTTTTGTTGGGAAGTGTTTCGTGGCTTCATTAACACTTGTGATTCGCTTCAGAGGAAAAGACCAAAGTGGTGCCTGTCCCCAAGTTGGTGCTCTTTATGTAAGTTGTATGGTGAGACTGCCTTTCATCTTTTGATCTCCTGTCCTTTTGCTACTTCTATTTGGGAGTGGTTTTCATCTCTTTTTGGATGCAGTTGGCTTCCCCTTGGTTGTCTGGAAGGTGTTTTTAGCTCTCACCTTCTCAGCTGCCCTAAAAGAAGAGGCAGAATTATGTGGAGATGCACTAGAGCAGCAATGATCTGGACAATTTGGGAGGAAAGGAATCTAAGAATCTTTGAAGACAAGGAAAGAAGTAAAGAAGCTGTGATTGAGATGATTATTCTCAGAGTAGCACATTGGGTGAGCACTTTAAAGCTCTTTGCTGACTTTAAGGTTGGGGATTTCTGCAGATTGTGGGGAATAATTGCAGGTTCTTCGTCTAGAAGATAGATTGTTCATGAGGCCTTATCTCCTCCATGTGTTGGGTGGAAGAAATTAAACTTTGATGGTAGTTGTATGGGCAATCCTGGACCATCGGGTATTGGTGGGGTAATTAGGGAAGAAAATGGAAACATTCTAGCTTTGTACTCAGGTCCTACTCAGCATGGAGATGTGGTGAGATCAGAATTATTGGCAACAGTCTATGGAGTAGAGAAAGCTAAAGAAATGGGGATTACTAAGCTGATTATTGAAGGTGATTCAAAAGTAGTTGTGGGCTGGTTGAAAAAAGGGGAAGGAATCATATGGAAGTTAAGGAATGAATTCAGGAGATTCAAGCAGATTACTAAAGATATGATGATTCAAATAAGATGGATTAGGAAGTCTGCAAACAGTTTGGCTGATGGTTTGGCAAAGCAAGGAACTCAAAGACACTCTGTTCTGGGCAATTCTGTAAATAGTGAATAGTTTCTGAGTGGGCTTTGTTTTTGTGCCCACAAATCTTTGTTGTACCTCTTTTTTAATCTAATGAATCAATTTTGTGTTGCTGATAATATATATATATATATATATATATATATATATATATATAACCTCCATGGTTTTCATCCATGTGTTTCTACTGTTGCTGTGTAGTTATCAAATTTAAAACCATGGAGGCCCTTTACATGAACGTGCTCTAGCATATCTATTTGGGTTATTTTGTTTAGACATTTACCATTATTTTTGCTTTATTTTTTATTGAAGAATTTTTCTCTTTTTAAATTGATCTGTTGCAAATTGAAGGGGCTAGAGGGGGTAGGGGTAGACCAAAAAGGACATGGGCCAAAGTAGTAAAAAATGATTTAAGCACTAATAATTTAACAATGGATATGTTATTAAACAGAACGAAATGGTGAAACAGTATTCATGTAGCTGACCCTATATAATTGGGATAAGGCTTGGATGATGATGATGGTGATTAAAATTTTCTCTTTTTAATTACATGCTCCCTTTTTCAATATACATTTTAATTCTCTCTTATCTTTCAATTATCAAAGAGGTCTAACTTGTTTTGGAATCCCTGGTTCATGTTCTTTGGAATCTTGGGCCTGTGATTGGCTGAACTTTGGGCATTGCTGCCATTTCATGGGCCTTTCGGGGCCATGAGTATATACGCTTTCTGTTTTTGTCCCATTGGTTCTCTTTCCTTCCCTGCACAAAGCATGTACTTCAGTTCTTCAGCATATTTGTGATGAAATTCTGAAAACCTGCTCCAGTCTTGCACAAACATCCTGGCAACCCAAGATAGAATTATAAGCAGAAGTGGTTGGTTGACATTTAGCTTGTTGGGAGTACCACGTGTTTGTATGGCCATAATGGATAATGATTTGAAAGTGGTTTTGTTACATGGATGGTTGGATGGCAGTACCAATAATATTTGTTCTCTTCCTAAATTTGCACCTTACATTGCCTAGAAAATGTTTCACAAGGGAATCCATGTTCAATTAAATAGCCAATGCAGCATGACAGCTATTGCTGTTAATATTGACTATTTTTTGGTAAAAATTAATATTGACAATTTATAATCATAACTATTCCTCCAGATCTATTTCTCTAGTCTGCTATGGCCATAGCAGTTTACACTGGTAGTTTCATTCCCATCTTTCTGCTGTTCAACTGGCCCAGTAATTTCTTCATTTGGCAGTAAGAATTCTCATTACCATTCAGCTCTTGCATCTAGTGAAATGAACTATTTTGTATTTAATATCCATTTGGCATGATCTCATTATGAATCTTGTTTGATTTAAGTGTTCCTTTCATTTTATCCTATGTTTTCATGTAACAAGTTCTGTATGTATATATATAGTGTTTCTATGTTATAATTTTGAGTGTTTTCCTTGTTGTTTATTTTATTATTATTATTGCTTTATTGCTCTAGGATGCTATGAGGACCTCATAATCCCTGTGACAAACTTTCACAATGAAGATAAGGGCTTCATGGTATTAGCTGGTGATGTTTTTGATGTCCCTATTAGGAAGGACATTGTTCACCGTGTTGTACGATGGCAGCTTGCGAAACGACAGCAGGTACTAGGCACTTATCATTTCATTGCAAGTGCATATGACTTATATAACTTATGACATCCTGCCCAATTTTATGGGACCATATAGCTGATAAAGTTCAAACAAGTTAATATCTTGGTTTTCGTAGTTGGTCTACATATTCTTCCCCCCCTTTGGAAAACTGGTAACCGAAACCGAACCGAAGCCAATCGGTTAACCAGTTGATCGTTTCAGTTACCGTCAGTTTTTCATCTTTTTATTTTCATAATATTATATAATAAATATAAAATTTTATATTATATTGTAAAAAACTAGAAATACATATAAAATATTATATTATAAATGAAAAATAATATATTATTTGAGTTCTTGAAGGAAAAACTATTTTCACGGATCATGCACCTTTGAGTTGAAATAAAGAATGAGTCCATTGAAAATAAAGGTAAATAAATAAATAAGCCATGAATATAATCTATAATAAATGATATTTGCTCTGCTTATGAGGATATTTTATTAGAAATCCACAAGCAATATCATGTACTCAACCTCTTTCCCAGCAATGACCCAGTAGCTGAGATGTTGGCATCCCTCCAAATATGGAGGCATGGGATCAAACCTGCATAAGTACAGGCTCTCTGTGGTAATGTCAGTGCACTTATGTGCACCCTGCTCTGTCCCCACCCCTTTATCCCCTATGTAATCCTTTCAAGCAGACAGCTTCCCTACATGACCTCTCCTTTTTTTCCACTTGGAGGGATAATGTGCAGACTTGAAGCATTCATCGAATAGGGAACCCTCTGGATTGGCCCGACGTCCAATCCTCTACCTGTATCAGCACTATACTACCAGCTTGTATTGGTGGACTTCCTCATCAAATATCAGCTGTTGAAATTTATGATTTTTTTAATAAAAACATAAATCAAAGTGCTATTTTATTTTTTATTGGTAAAATAAGGCTTATTATTTCACACATAGAGCCTGCAGGGCAACTATGTAGGGGCTCTTTTGGGCTTCCACCTAGATTGCACATGGAGGAATCCTGGGTTGTTTAGACTTACAAAAAAATCTTGAGTTGTTTAGCAAAGCTTACTAAATAACTCAACTAGCGGGGCCATCCAATTAGATTGCTCACTTGGAAAGCTAAGCTAAGTTTCTTTGCTGATTTAATAAAAGTCTTCTTTCTGTTGCTAATAAAAAAAATAAAAAATAAAAAATAAAAAGATAAGCTAAATTTCTTAGCTTATTTTTAAATGGAGTTGGTGTTTCTGAAGGATATGTCAATAAAATTGTGATACATAAATGGCACACAGGGAACACATTCAACAAAAACTATTAGTGAAGTTAGTGGGACTGGAAAAAAGCCATGGCGACAGAAGGGCACTGGACGAGCAAGGCACGGAACATTGCGTGGGCCTCAGGTGACTTTCTGTTCTGTTAGCTTGTTATCATGTTTCTACTTGTTAAATCTATGTTGTGTGGTCTAGGATAAGTTCATGGAATTAATCAAAGTTCATGAAAACAGTTTAGGCATGGTGCCACTATGCATGGTCCTAAGCCACGAACTCATGCAATCAAGCTGCAGAAGAAAGTTCGCCGTTTAGGGCTGAAAATCGCTTTGTCAGCCCGTATAGTTGAAGGAAAGGCAAGTTTCTCTCTCTCTCTCTTTAAGGAAACTGAACATTGTTATTTTACGTACTACAAATGGTTCCAAATGCTTATGTAGAAATATTGTAGGTTTCATAGGAGAGACTTAGTAATATGAGGTATAGTATGATTTAGAATAATGGTTTCAGTATGCCTTTGTCTGTGCCTTCATGATACAGAGGAGTGTGAATGAATATAGACCAGTACAATTCAAGTTTTGATTAGGCTGACTAGGTGACTGCCTATACATTTTGGAGGCTCATCACCTAAGCAACCGACTAGGTTGTTGGTTTATATCTGAACATCTTAATATGGGCAATGAACTAATTATGCCCCTTTCATTTATTGATATGAATGAATATAGCCTATTTTGAGTCAAAAGTAAAAAATCAAAGATCTTAATCCCTTTTCATATGTGTGTGTGGTTTGAACCAGAGAGATCATTCAAAATTTTTTTGCTGAATATAAATTAGTTTTTAATAGGTAACATAACTATTGTTTATTTACTGAATATAATTACATAAATAAAAGAATGTTTTACAATCAAAGGAGTAGTACTCCAGTTTATAGGTAAGCATTGCTACCTAATCCTGATAAAACTGCTAAGACCAGGCTGAAAATTATCACCTCTAGATTTAGTTGATTAGAGACTTTGAACTAGGAAGGGAGAGGAGAAATATCTCCCATCTCTAATTTTATGACTGTATATTATTTTGTAAGGATGAACTATTAAGGGGAGTCTGGGAATGAGAAGCATCATTGTTTTGATTTGGTGTTTTAAGCCACCCTCTTATCTGAAAGTTAACTTGGGAAAGCTAACTTGGAAGGGACAAATATGGAAGATAATAGAGTTGAGGTTTACTCTATGATGCCTGGATGTTTGGTGCTTTCACTTTCCCATACTTGGGTTTACTGTTGGGTGGGATCCTTCAGTCCTCATTTTCTTGGATCCCTGTCATGCATGGGTCCTGAAAGATTGTTAGCTTGTAAGAATTAAAATTATTCGGAGGTACATCATATAGATTAGATACATATTCTCAAATTTGCTTTTTTTACTTATTCCGTCTTTAGAGCCCTCATTTCATCCATCAAGTGACTGTAAAAGGTGACAAGGGACTACTTTGGGAGTCTGGTCAATATGAAAGACCATCTAATTAAGTATGGTATTGTGTGTAAGGATAAGAGAGAAGGGGAATTGGGAATTAGGAGGAACATGTCTCATAAATACTTCTCTACTAGGGAAATGGTTATGGAAATTTCCTTGGACTTTGACAAGCTTGTGGTATTCTGTGATTAGTAAGTGTTCATGGTCTATCTACTGATGGGTGGGACACTAGATTGACAAGACTAGCTACCTTAACCTCTCTTTGGAGAGCTATCTATGGCACCTTGGATTTGTTTTCTTGATTCCTAAGATACAACTCTAAGGGGCCATTTGATAATGGCTGAAGTTGCTGAACTGAAAGACTTACTGCTTTGTCTTTTAGTTGATAAAATAATTAAATAATAAAACTTTCAAGGGTAAAGTGATCTACCCAATTTAAGTTCAGCCATTAAGGAACCCACAACCTCCTTAAAAACTTATTCAATAAAACACAAGGCAATAAGCTTTTCAGTTCAGCATCTTCAGCTGTTATCAATCAGTCCCTAAGTGAAAATAGGGTAAGGCTTTTGGGGAATCTTTTATGGAGGGTTAGTCCACTTTGTTCCTGGTTCCAAGACAACAAGCTCAATGGAGGGTATGCTTCCATTTCTTCAATGGGGATTCCCTAGGGCGCTGGCTTTAGGAACACCCCTCCCTAGACCCCTGATAGCTAGGACCAACATTGGGTAATGACTCTTTTTGGCTTCATCTAATCCACTTGAATTTTTTGAGCAACATACTCTTAAATCTCTCCACTCTTAAATGTCCCCCTTACTATGATTATTGAACCAAGGCAACATAATGGGCCCACTTTGAAGTATTTTTGGTCACTTTTAGTTAATGTTACTGGTAAAAGGAATTATATTTCTTGGTCATCCTTATCGTACCCCATTTCTACTGTAGGCTCTTCAATCAATACTGTGTCATCAATAAATAAGTTATATGATGCAACCTCTTGAAAATGTTTAATTAACTCAAACATTTACAAGAAACTGTCACCTCTACCCTAGATTGCAACTAGTCTCTGTTTTTTTTTGGGTGATCAAACAACTAGTCATTGTATTATCATGGATATCCCTTTTTTTTATCAGAAACGATAACTTTCATTAGAGATAAACTAAACTGAAATACAGAAGTCAACTCTTATTAGAAAAGGTTGATCCAATAAACATCAAACATTACAGCCCTGCCCAGTAAAGTCTCTCCCTTACAGTCCCTTGTTTTGCTAGGGCATCAGCAAAACCATTTGCTGATCTCCTTACCCACTTGAAACAAACACCATCATCATGGATACCCTTGATAAAGTCGATATATTCAATTGGAGTCCAGATAGCTTGGACCAACATTCCATTGTGGCCTTTTTTATCTAATTGGGAATCCTTTCCTTTCAAAATCTACCATATTATCTCTTGAATATAGATTGCTTGTTTTCTTAACATCAACTACTGCTTTATGTTATCTATTAAAAAAAACTAATGTTGTATTTTTTTTTTTTTGGGGGGGGGGGTGTTGCAGGGTTGTAATAAGAAAAATAAAAGCAATTGTAAGAGTACACAACAAAGTATAGGCTTTTACCTATGCCAAGTAAAAACAGAAAAACAGAAGAGCCAACTTCATTGCTGCTCTCCCCAATATCATTCTTAGTTCAATGGCAAGCCCATACAGGGAAGGTATTGCCATACGGGGCCTGTCTAACTGCACCTTCTCTATCAAGTGAACCAGCTAGAGAATCTGCAGATGTTAATACCCAAGTGAAAAGGGTTCACAGCCCTAGCCAAAGATCTTGATTCTCTTGCATGATGTTGATACTGTGAAGGACCTGTCCTCAAGTTTCTCATACACCCAATGACAGCTTGTGAGCAAACCTTGCAATAAAAATAATAGCTCCACTGAGTCTGGATTAGCTGCACTTGATGGCTGTGTTACCAAATACCAATAATAATGCCCCACGGCAACCACAAAATGTATATGCCTCACAATCACCACTCAGTCTCTCACTTTGTGTGGATGGCTGATGTGGGGCATTATTACCCAGCCCTTAACACAGCCATCAAGTTCAGATAATCCGAGCTTAGCTCACCCCAGTAGAATCACCTATGACACCTATATACACCATGAATGTTGTCACCTTGATGGTTTTTGAAAACACTACCTATTACTCAGTTCCCAAGATTGTTAAATAACAGCCATCAAAATCCAACTTGATGCAATCAATTGATGGAAGTACCCAATTCTGAACCCTTAAATTTATAATGGAAGATGAAGACACAAAAATCAGCTAACCCTTGGGTAATTTCTTCTCCCCTAACTTTCCATCAACTATCCAAGTAAAAAAAAAAAAAGACAGCTTTCTCACGGTTTATCTTCCTGGCATACCCAATTGTTCTTTTAATGTGCTCATTTCATGAAGATGATACAAATCTTCATCATCTTCATTGTTGCTATCAATTTGCCATCCTCATCGTCATATGGCATAAATAACATATCCATTTTATATTATTTGGTGACAATGTTATTGATATCACTTCTCTGTGTACTGGAAGTATATAGTCTATTTATTTTCATCTTGGCCATGATTATTGTTATTTGATTCCCCATTCTCTCTTTACTCCTTGTTTTAGATGATTGCTAAACTCTATGTTGGTGGTTGAATCTAACAAAATAAGTTTCAACAATGAACAGCTTCTGGTTTTCGAGGATTTGGAGGTCCCAACCCACAAGACCAAGAATATTGTGAATTATGTCTCACAAATAGAGAACACCAAGAAACTTTTGCTGGTGGATGGCGGTCCAATAAATGAAAAACTCAAATTAGCTACACAGAATCTTCACTACGTCAACGTTCTTCCTTCAATCGTAAGTTGAAAATTGTGCTCTTAATTTATTAGGTTTTCTAACCTTCTCCATCTCAATGTTTGGTTTGGGCACCATATACAACATCCAAAGTTCCAAACTCTAGATCGAAATGTTTTGCACTTCCTGAATATCTGTAGTCAGTGTACAGTGTATTAATGGGGAAGCCCAATACTGAGAAAAGAACGCTTCAATAAACATGTTAAGAAACGCCAGGCGACTCCATCTAGGGGTGTTCATGGGTCGGGTTGGGTTGGTTTGAATCATTTTCTTCAACCGACCCGACTTAGTCAGTTTACTTATTGACTAAACCAAAACCAACCAACCCAAACATGAAGGGTCGGTTTATCAGTCTAGTCGGATTTTATATATATTTTAAACTAAAAATCTATGTCTAAATATCTATTTATATTTAAGTTTATTTCTTTTTTGTTTTATGCAAAACCAAAATATATATTTAAATCAATTACTTTTTTTTTGCAAAACTGATTTCTTTTTGTCAATAAATATTTAAATTTATACAAAACTGAATTAAATATTGTACCATTGTATTATATTTGTATTGGTTTTGACTTTTGCGTTTTTAGTTTTTAGCATAAATAACCAATTTCTTTTCAAAGTTCAAACAAAACACAAATAAAATATATCAACATTTAACATATAGAGTAGGGACTAATTAATAATTACTTAAACATATAGGATCAGTTCGGTTTGGTTTGGTTTCGGTTTATTTTCTCATACAAACTGAAACCGACCGGTGGTTTTGAAAAACCGACCAATTTGGGTTGGGTCGGGGCCAGTTTGGTCAGTTTGACATTTAATGGTTACACCCCTAACTCCATCTAAACAAAATTTGTTTCCACCACATGCAGGGTTTGAATGTCTACAGTATCCTGTTGCACGACACTCTTGTAATGACACGGGATGCTGTTAATAGGATCGTTGAGCGGATGCATACTCCAATTAACCGCTGAAGCAATAACAAACAAACTGGAGAGCGAGGAGGAATTTTTGTATTTATTTAATCCTTTCTTAGTAGGAGAGTAGCAAACGCAAGAGAGAACATCCCCCCTCCCCCTTTTTTTTTCGTTTTTTTTTCTACTTTTTTATGCATGTCTTCAAGTCTTATTTATCATTTTCGATGAAATGCATGCCTGTAGGTCAGACTTGAAAAGAATTCCGGTATCCATACACATGGTGGAAGAGGTACTACGAGACTGTCTAATGCTTGTGAATTGTGATGTTATCCTGAGGTCCATTATGGTAGCTAGTTTTTCATTTGGTCTGTTCTATTTTAGTTTCAGATGGTTAGTGTTTGATGTAGGGGTGATCATTTCTGAGCTTTGATCTCCTGCCCACAAGAATACTACCCATGCCTACCCACATGACACTATTGTACATTGGAAACATTTTCTGTATTTACATGTTACCATTCATGGGGAGATGTTTCCAATGTACAGCTATGGTGTGCAGTGGGTAGGATTGTTGTGAGTATATAGTCGAAACTAACTATCATGTCTTTTCAGTATCTAGCCTGGCACAATCCTGTCTGCAAATTTCTGTCATTGGGCAGGCCCAACCCTCAATAGTTGGTTTCAACTATGATACTGAAAATACATGATAAACAGAAAAATTTATAATCAATCGGATCATAAAAGTGGTTACCAATCAGGAATTCATCAAAATTTACAGGAGATTTGGAAGTTGTCATTGTTGAAAGCTTCTGGTATTATACCTTTCTAACATCATAGATTTATCCATACACTTTTACCCTGCCGTGGATCATGATTTTCACTTGCTCCACGGTTCACCTCATCTCATTGTACTCGATGGATCATTAATGCAAGATCTGTAAAAGTAAAACCCATTTGTTGAATGGAAATTATGGATTGAAGCTTTGAGCTATTCAGCTACCATAGTTGCTAAGGCTATGATAAAGTAAAGCCTAAAGCCCGCCTCTCAGGTATGACCCTTATCAGTTATCATAGTTGCTAAGCCTAGCCCAGCCCGGAAAGCTTATGATCATTGTTGCTCACTTGCGTGGTTACATGATCAGTGATTCTATGATCTTTGACTTCTCTATATCATGGAGTACCCCTTCGGATTTTTTTTTTAAAAAGAAAAAACGGACGAAGATCTATAGAATTCTCATCCGTGAGTCTACCATTCTAAGGGTCCATTTGGTTTATAGTTGGAATCGGAATTGAAATGGTCCATTCCGAGTCTGTTAGGTTCAGACAGGAATGAGAATAGAAATTAGAATCAGCAGAAATGATGGGATTTCATTCTCAAAGAAAGGGCAGGGAATGACCATTCGGCCATTCCTTCCAATGGGGAAATATTATTCCAACAGGAATAGGAATGAAATTTCAATTTTGCCCAATCAAATTCCAGACCCCTATTCCAGTAAACCAAACGAGGACTAATTTTTGCTGCAAACACATTCAGTTGGAAGCTCCTTTAAAAAAAGTTGATTCGGGTCCAGTTCATCTTATTGGTGGGAATCACTGATTTGAATTGAAAAAATTATTCCCAATTACAACATGCTGTGAGATTAGTATGAGTAAATCCGAATTGAAAAAATAAATTGTCCCCTATGCTATACCCTATCAGAGCTTGTTGAAAATAAATGAAACTAGTTAATATTTACATCTCCCATCGGGTTTTGGTCAATTCAGGTTTTATTTGTATCCCTTAGACAACGAAAATTATAAGGCTTCGTTAAGGGAAGAAACAGAATTAAGATTATATCCTTAATAATAAAATATCATTTTAAATTTTTTTATTATTAATATAATTTTAACTTTTATGTTTTACTTCGACATTAATTTATCCCTTGAATGAAAGTATTGTTGCCCATTTAATATACGAAGTAAATTGGTTTCTTAATAATTTTTGAATGCCATGCCTATACAGGCTTTCTTTTCCAGTCAGTCAGTGATTTTTTTTTTCTTATTTTTGAATGCCACTCACTCACTCAGTGCAAGTTAATGGAGGGATGGATGGAATAAAATCCCCCATTTCTGGATTACGCTCCAAACCATGCAAAACCTTTAAATCTTGGTGGCATTGGCATTTTTTTTACGGTCACAAAGACAAAGGTTTTATTACATGGAAATCCCACAACCAAATAAAATAAAATAAACTACGAAAGCTTCTGTTTTTGTATATTCAAAAGGCCTCAGTGTTGCTCAGAAAATATGGAAGCTTCTGTTAAATTGTTTTAATGCTTGCCCATCTTGTGGCAGTTACCCTTTTCTACCTTCTTGTACTTCTTCTTGGCCGAGTCAGAATCATCGCTCTCGCCCATCACAGCTTCTTTTGCATCTTCAAAGGTCTCTTTAACAGTCTCGATCGCTGCTTCGGCCTTTTCCTTGGCTACCCTCGTGAACTCCTCGGCCGTCGACCTTGCCTTCTCTATGATCTCTTCGCCGAGACTCTCCTTGTCGCTGTATCTCTGAAACAAAACATCCATTACTCTTTTAATTTAGCACAGAGCCACAGATACGAGGGAGTAAACAGATCAAAAGAAATGAGGGCTTCGCTCTTTCTAACCAGTGGGAGATGATCATTAATCTGTTACCTTGATGGGCGTGTAGAGAGATGATTGTGATGGTGTCAACAGCAATGGCTTGACCGCCAATGAGCGGAAGCACGATGTGGAGACGAGAAGATGACGGTAAGCCATGTCTCGTTCGTATCTGTGTCAAAACTGTGAAAACAGGTAAGGAATTTGAAGGAGAAGGAGCTAGCAATCGATCCCGATGGAGGAGTTATTCTGAAACTCAAAACTTGAAGACAACGGAGGGAATGAAAGAGAGGATGCGAGGGTTAATGGACGGACGTGGCTCGCTATTACGTTCTGAGATGCCACGTGAATGCCTACGCTTGTGCCACCTCGTCTTGTCTTTCACTTCCGCTGGAGCGGTTTTCCTCTTTTCTTAGTGGTCTAGCGGAAAGCTCTCCGACAATAAGCAAGGTTGAATATGCACAAGTCTTCCTGTGTTCATTTACATCGAATAGAACAAGGAGAAAATTTTATTACACAATTACAAGTGTTTCTCAAGAACTGATCAAGTGTTAGAATCTGCATATTTGACGCATTGCTATCAGGGATATTACCTCCATTCACTGTTGCCCAGTTAGGGTGCATTGGTTTTTGGATTTTGAGAAAGGAAAAGTGGGTTAATGGGATTTTGGTTATGGGAATTTTGGATTTTTTTATTTTTATGTAAGGTTTATGGAAAATTATTTTTTTTTATAATTGAATGGGATAAAATTGTTTATTTATTTACTTTAAAAATAAAAGAATATGGGAAAGAATAAAAGGTATTGCCCTCAATTCTCTATTGTAATGTAATGTAATCTATATCTATACTACTAATAAAAGAGCAAATAACCCCATTTTTTAGAATTTTCATTAGACATTTTTATTCCTTATCTTAGCAGCATACAATGGACATAAAAAGGGCATATATGTCCTTTACTCTCACTCCAAAAACTACCCACTTATAACAGTTAAGAAACTGCTCACTTAGTGATGAAGGGTGATTTGGCACGACCTAGTAAGAAGGGGACACGTAGACGCGATTTGCTTGAGGGGTAACAACTCAGCCAAACGAACCCAATTCGCAACATTCGGAGCTCGGGTATTTAGCCACTTCGGCCCAAAAACCACCTCGGCGTAGAGACACCTTGACACCCAATCCAGTTCGGGCCTAAAGAACTGAAGTGCCAGTTTGGAGCTAAAGAGCTGAAACGCCATGTAATCGACTCCAAAGGCCACCCCAGTGGACTCTGAATTTCTCGGGATCACGACGAGACTCATCCTACCTCTGTCTGAATCGAAGGTAAATGATAAACCTTATCAACACATTGCTCTCCTTAAAAAATGAAACGGATCTTTTTCGCACAGCCCGGAGATCCCGGAGCTCTTTCATAAGGCCCACGACTACTCCATTATATAAGGACATGAAACTCCAAGGCAATTGATGACGCGTGATTATTTACTCACTAGCATTCAAGCATTCAAGTATTCAGCTCGCATCCACAGTATAGTACTGACTTAAGCATCGGAGCGACCTCGTCGGGTTAGCCACCTTGGGTTCTCTGATCTACTATTTTGCAACTTGGTGCAACTCGCCGTGCAACTGGAGTTCGGATCATCTTCTAGCTAGGAGTATCTAGATCACGCACCATCAATTGGCGTCATCTGTGGGAAATTGATCGAAAGGTCATCCCAATTTTAATTGGATCACCTCGTTCAGTGCGTCTGAACAATAAAGATCTAGATGCAGTAGGTCCAATAGTTCCAACAGTATCAATAGTACTATCTGTACCAGTAGTTCCCACCACTGCAGCCGAACCAACTGTCAATTCCACCCCGACACCTAGGGTTGCGTCAGGGCCAAAACCCAAATCGGCCTGGAACTATCCAGAACGTCAACTGATCCCCCCATCGGGGTGAGTGGACCTTGCACACTCCTCCAGTCTCGCAAGGAAAATTTAGAAACAGGCCCGGGGATAGTCAGCTCAACAGGGCCAATCCGACTCAGCACTCCCAGCAGGAAAACAACGACTCGCGAGGAGATAACAACCAACCCAGAGTTTGAGGTGTGAACTCGAGGCAGGACCCCTCTGCCCCTTGTGATAGCCGGTGCGAACCCCACAACCAAGAGAACCCGACAAGAAGGAACCAGGAACCACCTCGCGATAATGTCTGTAGTGATGCTAAGATACCAGATCAGACTGAAATCAGCAGTACCAACACCAAGCTGGTGAAGAAGCAGCAATGGTGACATCGCAAGATACGCCGATCCTCGGCCATAAACAGTCTGCCAGTGAAGCCAAGCCAGTAAGCAAAGCAAGCTAAAGAAAAGGAACAAGTGAGCTCGGTGGAAATGAAGACTGTGCCTCCATTGCTTTACCAGTCATCTCCTCTATCTCTCGAGCTCCTAGCAACTCCGATGCGGAAAGACTTCAAGGTGCCCCCGTTAGATAAGTATGATGGGTCGTTTGACCCCAGCAATCATGTGGATTCCTTCCAGTCTCAGATGCACCTATTTGGAGCTGACGAGTCCTGCATGTGTATAGCCTTCTCCACTACGTTTAGGGGGTAGTCCGAACTTGGTATAGGAACCCCGCGTCGGGCTCCATCAAAAGCTGGTCCCAATTTTCCAACCTGTTTACTACGCACTTCATTACCAGCAAGGTGTCCGAAGTCACAAGAAAGCCTTCTGAACGTGGTTCAGAGGGAAGGAGAATCAATCAGAAGCTATATAAAGCTCTTCAACGATACTTGCCTGCAGATACCGGACCCCAATCCAGCGATGCGACTCACTGCGACAAAGAAATGAATCACCCATAAAGAGTTCAAGTGGCACGTGGTAGCTAACAAACCAAAAGATATCACCGAGTTCCTCAAGTTGGCAGATCAATTCATCGGTACCGAGGAGGAGATCAACCAAAAGATTGATAATCCACCACCGGAAAAGAGGAAGAGAGAGAATGAAGGGACGAGCAATGGTGGGCAGAAAATAAAGAAGAGCAAGTCCCCGAGCAGGGGAAGAAGCAAGTCAAGAAGTCGGTCCCCCTCGCTTACCCACAAGCCAGGTCGGCGCTCCAAGACCCCACCCGTGGAGAGAACGAGCTATACGCCTTTGAATGCTAAGCGAGGAGAGATCTTAATGGCTATTAAGGATTCCTCCTTCATCAAATGGCCTCCCAGGTTAAGGGGAGACCCGGCAACAAGAAATCCAAATGTCTACTGCCATTTCCACCGAGGTCATGGACACAGCACGGAGATTTGCAGGAATCTCCGCGACGAGATCGAGGAACTTATCCGCTGTGGGTAGATGAAGAATTACATATTGCGAAGGAGAGGAGCAAGCAGACCAACAGGTAGATCGACAGGGGGACCAGAGGAGGAATGGCCCCGAGGCCAGCAGGCAAAATGAGCAACCACCTCGACAGTTGCCAGAGGAAAGACCAGTCTGCGGGGTGATCAATATGATCACTGATGGGTCCATCATTGCCGGGTGTACATTGACAGCTGGGAGGACCTCGGTCCGCGAATTGGAAAACGAAGGTGAAAACCAGCCAAAGCGACCTCGGCTCGAAGAACTGATCTACTTCATAGGGAACTAATCTACTTTAGTAGTGAAGCTAAGGATTAACGACTTTGAGGTGAAATGCATCTTGGTGGACTCAGGCAACTCAACAGACATACTCTTCAAGGAGACCTTTGGCAAGTTACAGTTATAGCAGAGTGACCTGAAATCGGCAGATACGCCTTTGATAGGGTTCAACGGCGAGGAGGTCAAACCTCTTGGTCGAATCACACTACCCGTAGAAACCGGCACATGGCCAAACATTGTGCGATTTGAGCACACGTTCTTGGTAGTCACGACTCCCTCCCCCTACAATGCAATAGTAGGTCGGCCTATCACGCACGTTTTACGTGCGATAGTGTCCACTTACAACTTAGCAATGAAATTCTCAACTGATTACAAAGTGGGAGTCGTGCGAAGTGACCAGCTCGAATCCTGCAAATGCTACATGGCTGCCTTAAAAGGAAAAGCAAAACTGGCAGAGGACGTCAAGCTCGAACAACCGGTGGAGTATATTGACGAGTGAGCTGCCCCGAAAGAAGAAACGGTCCACATACCAGTCTCTGTCGTCGAACCAGTCAAAACTCTTCAGATCGGTGCCTCAAACCACTTCGAACCCAGCTAGTAAGTTTCTTACTTGAAAATTTAGATATTTTTGCTTGGTCCGCGGTAGAGATGTCCGAGGCTAATCCAAAAATTATAACTCGCAAACTTAATACTGACCCTTTAGTCGGGCCAGTAAGACAAAAGAAGCGTAACCTCGCCCCAGAACGTTGGAGGGTAGTCAATGAGGAGGTCGGGAAGTTCCTCGCGACAGACTTCATCAGAGAAGTCCATTACCCAAGCTAGGCGACCAACCCAGTTTTGGTGAAAAAGGCCAATGGCAAATAACGCATGTGCATCGACTACACTGACCTGAACAGAGCTTGCCCGAAAGACTGCTTCCCGCTGCCCAAGATCAACCGGCTAGTGGACGCAACCTTAGGGCATGAGTTGTTGAGCTTCCTGGACGCCTATTCCGGTTACAACCAGATTAGGATGGATCCCACTAATGAAGACAAGACAGCTTTCATAACTGAGCTCGGGTTATATTGTGACAAGATCATGCCCTTCGGATTGAAAAAGGTCGGGGCAACATTCCAGCGCCTTGTAAACAAAATTTTTGAGCCATTGATCGGCAATAAAGTAGAATGTTATGTTGATGACATGGTCGTGAAGACCCAATTTTCAAATTCTTTGTTTGATGATTTAAAAGATGTTTTTCAAATTTTACGAAGATATAACATAAAATTAAATCCGAATAAATGCGTCTTCGGAGTCACTTCAGGTAAATTCCTATGCTATATAGTCAACCAATGTGGCATTGAGGCCAACCCAAACAAAATAAAAGCGATCCTAGATATGAGACCACCCTGAAAAATAAAAGAGGTCCAGAGGCTGATTGGCCGGACAGCCACCCTGAGTCGCTTCATGTCTAAATCGGCTGACCAGTGCCTACCCTTTTTTAAAGCTATAAAAAAGAGCAAGAACTTCGAATGGACTGAAGAGTGTCAGCTCGCTTTTGACGAGATGAAAAGGTACTAAAGTACCACCCCAGTTTTAACTCGACCCGAAGAAGGGGACATGTTAAAACTATACCTTTCTGCAAGCGATGAAGTGGTTAGTCCGGTACTGATCAAAGAAGTAGATCGGGTTCAACGACCCATCTACCATGTTAGTAAAGTTTTGTAGGATGTAGAGACTAGAAATCTGGAGATCAAGAAA